AATTCCCGCTCATGACCAGCACCAGTGACGATTATCTGAACCGGTGCTGGGCCTCTCCTAGGTCGAGTCAGCCTTAAATTAGTACCCAATGCGATATGTGAACATCGCCACTAGGGAGACAAAGGCAGCTAGGTTTGGTGCTGGCCACCCACCCCCTCGCGTGCCGTGCCGGCCTTCATAGGTGCTCGCTAACAGCACTTGCCCCAACAGTCTGTTCAGGCTATACGGGGGATCGTTGTCTTTTTACATCATTGTGAAACTAACTAAAACTTATATAATTACAATGTTTTAATAATGGAAGATATGCTCATGGATACTCTGCACAAGGGGGTGACAATTTCCTATATTTTTTGGGCATTTTTATGATTTGCATTATTTCATAATTTAACGTGTCCATTCGCTATCAAAGGTGGCATCCCGAATGATGAATCACGTCACCTTTGGTAAGAAAAGCGTGGGCGTTTTTCCTGCCATGTCAAACTTTTGGGTCAATCCAAACCAAACCATCTAAAATGTCATCTCTAGATCTGATTTTTTTAACAAAAAAATAGATCCATCTGAAAGCTGGTAACACATCATTCTGTGTATGCAATATTCATACATATAAAACACAAGACGGTAAATACATTTACCCCTGACCCACAATAATTAGGCCACTCCTGTTCATAATAAAGGTTTTTGGGTTAGATCACGTTATGTATAAATGTGTCGTAACCCTCCACCACCCGACACGGCCAAACAGTAAAAAAATGCATCACGTTTACAAAGGACAAAATAATTCACTTCTTTAGCCCACCGCTGTGTTGAAGAGTGAATCAACATCATTTAAAATTCGAGTACGACGTTTCGCTGGTAATTACATCCAGCTTCATCGGGCGATTTGCCAGAATGGTGAGGCTCTTCTCTTGCTCCCGGACTTAAATAGAGGCCACTCCTGGGCTGATTCACTACGACACACCTCTCAGGCGGTGTGACTTTGTGAACACTCCGTTGTGATGAGTTGGCTACGGCAGTGGATATTGATGGTCTGCCTACGCGTCTGGGGGGGTTTCTCTCTCTCGCTAAAATAAAATACTTTTGTGAAAAAGTATTCAATTAACCATCAGATCAATTTCACCAGAGAATGTACGGTTTGGAAACAACTCTGCACTTGCAGCATAACCATTCAGTTAATACCTCGGTGGGCTTTGCCTGGCAGGATGGGGATGGTTTAGTTTTATGTGTGTTTTTTGGTGATGTGTTTACCATTCTTGTTCTTTGCGTGACTATCGTGCGTTTGTATTGATCATTGTTGTAACCTTCTTACTCGCCCCTACTGGACATCTGCGAGAAAGAGCTTTATTGATAATTGATTGATTCCTCCAGTGTCAATAAATATGATCATTCTGATGATAGCATCCAGCCATACATAATTTATTTCTGTATATGTATTTCTCGTGCAATTAAAACGGGAAGATAATATAATGACATCCTTTGGTTGTTTTACCTACCCTGTAACTTCGTGAATGCTCAATGGGTGTTAATTGTGTGAAAAGCAACATAGATTGTGGTGGTAGTAAGTGTCTGTTAATGAAAATGTATGCAGTTATCACTGCAAGTGTTGATCCATTTATGATTTGCAGAAAGAGTCCCTTTAAAAGAATGCCAACGGCATAGCGCCACAATTATTAACACAGTGGGGTTTCTGCTAAAAATATAGGCCTACTTCGTTTGAGTATTAAGATGCTCATTTAAAGCCATCCTTACGTTAACCCAGTTTCTGCAAGCCATAAAAAAAACGTGATGGGACAATTGAGAATATTGGAGACTGGTGTTTGTATTCGGTGAGAAATTGCGCCGAAAGACCGTACGAACATTGATCATTTTTTGTCACCTTTGTAATTTGTACGTTCAACACCGTCAGTTAAATTGGCAAGTCTCTAAATCTGCTTGCTCCAAGAGTAACCCATTTCATGAGTTCCATTGATGTTGGCGTAACGTTACAGTTTGAACACTGCTACCTCTGTCGCATATACACCTCATCTCAATTGTATGGGTACAATTTCACGTACAGCCCTTGGTCAATCCACCGAGAGTAGAAGGCCTCCCACTGCTGTGTTGGCCACGGGAGTTGTTTGACCATACTTCACCACGCAGGTCGCTGCGGATTGGTGAAGGCGGTGCCCAGGATCATCTCGGATATCACTCAACACTGACGTTAACTGTGACCGGGAATGAAACTCAGGTCACTCAGATCACAGGCTTCCATCGTGCAGTGATATAACCAGCGTGTGATCACCACACCCACCGTGTCACATCTTCAATATAAAATAATGTACCCACAAAGGAAGTTACACGTTCAAGTTATGGTGTCTACTTTTCATTATCAAACTGAAACTCATCGCAGCAGGAGGTTCTGTCTTTCGTAGGAGCAGGGTGTTGTAATGCAACACGTGTGCGTATGGGTAGAGGTGGTGTATGGGAATTGATTTGGTGGTGTAGCCTATCTTAAAATAACAAAGCAATGAAATCAGGCCTAGCTTCTGTAACGTTGGTCCAACGTGCTATTTGTTTCCTCTCAAGAATGTTAGCCCCAATAACGTTCGCTTCCGAATTCGCCACATTATTAGACACCGTCACAGGGTGCGTGACATCACACGTGATGACATCATAGGAAAAGCGAGGCGATGTCACCACCGCCTTGGCCAAAAGAACGCTTGTTCGTTTAGCGCTCGTTTATTTTCTATTCCAATTTCTATTTTGCCGACCACTTTGATCAATTAGTCCGGTTTTGACTAAGGCCACTTATTGAAAGCAAGGCAACTTTGTTCTTAAATTTCGTTCACTTTGGATGACCCTCCAAAGAGTTAGCCGTGACCCCGTGTGATAGATGGGAGACAGGTGGCTTGAACTAAACGCGTCGGTGTTTTCGAACTCGCGTGGAAAGTGTAAAAAAAAAAGGTTAAAAAAACATTTCCCATTAACACTTCCATATACAGTGAACACCGAATTCACAGTAGTCTAATGTTTCAGGTCATGGCTTACCTCCAGAGCAGAGAAAGTGTGCAATGTGCAGTCTCCAACTCCTATCTACTCTCCCTCTCTGGCCTTTCCATGTTTGTGCTAATAAGAAGTGCCATTGCTTCAAACATTGCCTATTATATATTTTTCCTCTTAAGGCCACAGTGTTATTTACCAATGCGTTGAGTTTTATTATGATTAGGTGTATTATGTCAATGTCACCGACCTGTGCACGTATGTATGCAGCTTAACGCTTGTTTAATATCGTTCCCACGGCACGATTTAAGGGGACTGCCATCACACACTACCCATTTGCATGGGAATTCAAGAGGCAGGGGAGCAATTTTATACCATACCTCACTTTTAATAGCCTTAATAAATAAATACACAGCATTACTTTGATATCCGCACCATTTGTATAAGACAAGGTTAGGTAACACGAAAGCATGATGGTTTTGCTTTGTAAGCTTTCAGGAACATTTCCGTCTTGAATCGACTGCAGCACTGGCTGACGGTGACGAATCACGAATCACAGACAGTGACCTGGCAATGAGCTCTCAACGTAGCTGGGACGAACAGCGCAACGTGGGTGGGTAGGTGAGTGGGCTGGCGAGTGGGTGAGGTGAGTGGGCTGGCGAGTGGGTGAGGTGGGTGGGTTGATCACGGTGGCATACACAACGGGCTATTTTACTATTTTATTTTACCAGGTAAGGCCCACTGAGCTGTATTGCTCTTTTTCAGAAGCTACCTGGCCACAAACGATAGCTCAACGAAGTGGCTTATCGCGTGGAAATGTATAGCAGCCAAATACTGTAAACGCACGTTTCTAAATGTCGGGTGAAAAACCGGAGGACCCGGAGAGAAATCCACGCCACCATGGGGAAAGAGACACGCAGACTCCAAATATACAGGTGTGTTGGGATCGAACCCACGACCTCCTGCATACCGGGCGAGGTACTTAACATCTCGCCACCGTGAAGGGGACAGAGGTGAACAAGCACTCGCACGAGTGCCCTTCACTTGGCTACTTGACATGGGCCCTCAAATGGACCCTCACAGTTGCACGTCTCCTTCAACTTGAAACACAAAACAAACTTGTTTCTACACACCTGCTTATAACACGCACGTCGTCGCATATTTTGTTAAAGAGAAGAAGATTGCAACGCATTGCATCAACGTGTGTCAAGGCACGCGCCTTCCCATAATCAACTGGGTGCTATTTAAAATGATGCAAGCCTCGGTAATAGTACGTGTGTGCGGCTTGTCTGACTGTTCCGGTTTGTGTGGTTTCGTGATTAGTGTGATACCCAGTGCACAACATTATGCTCGTTATTTTAATGACTTCAAAATACAAAGGAAGCTGGTTTTTTTTGGAGGGGTTTCAAGAACAGATTAATTATACTGTTTGTTGAATTCACGTTCCAGACTAGCCGTAGAACATTAAATCTGTACCATGGACACATTGTAAGTCTTAATTTTTCCGCTACAGTTCAAAAATAATCAGAGGAGGTGGATAGGAAGCTTTTGAGGGCGAGTTCCATTAGCTGCCACCTCTGAGACTTGGGATTCAGGTATCGTCCACCAGTGATGAAGCTCGGTTCTCAAGCGTAGTGCATTTATTGCCTAAGCGTGGTCACCAATGACAGCACAAAAATCAATCGTAGAAAAATGCATTCGTACGTACATTCGTTTTTAAATCCTTTATATTAAGTTCACGTGCTTGCTTGCTTGCGCGCTTACGACAGTGCAAATCTTTCGGTCGTTTTTTAACCCACTTCCCGTGATCAAATCGAGCTGACATTTTGCACACAGACTCGTTGTGCGTGACAATTAATGTTCGTGGAAATTTTTTTCCAAAATTTTACACTTTTTAGGAATTTTTTTTTTATATTTAATTACCAATTGCTTAATGGTGGCAGGCAATTATCTGACCCATAGGTGGCAGCCATCTCAAGCCAGAGGACGAGAGGACTGTAGCCGCCACGCATATAAAGGATTTATAGTGAAAAACTTTGTTTTTACGGGTAAAATTTTTTTTTCTACTCAAACACTCCAGAGGGACTTTCTCGGGCTTCCCTTCAATTGAGGCAGTGCTGCCAGCAGCGGCATGGGTAAGCAATTGCAGGGCTGCACCTTTACCTATAGAAAGCAACTTGAACATTTTGTGCAAAACAAATTCCTTCACGTATCTGTCTCTCCCACAAATGTTGTTGGGAAAGGATTAAAGTTGTGGCATTAGAATGTAGGTCACAATGGTGCCAACATTTCCATGCAGTCAGCTGTGCAAATATTAGCCGAGCAAGCCTTAGGTCCGGCTTCTTTGGAGCATTTCAGAGTGGGCATATGAAAGACCTCTAATGGGCTGTACAAATATAACCAAAATAATCTAAAACTGCAGGTATTCCAAAAACCAGCAAAATATATTTCACATTTTTCGTGCATTCGTCTCGTTATTATTACTATTGTTATTCGTAATATTTTTGGTTTGCTTTTCCTTTTCATCAGATTGCTGCCGCTAACCCGCGGTTGGGCTGAAGACCGGCTACGCTTGCCCGGGACACAACGAAAACCGGCGAGAAAGAAGGAATTCCTGTCTCCGCTACTTTTTTTTTCTTCAAGTGGAGTTCGTTTCAACTTGAGAAGTTCAAAAATTTGAATAAAAATACCTCCGCCAGTGAGTGCCATGGAGGAATACACGCCCCCTGATGGTGGCTGGGGTTGGGCCGTAGTCGTCGGGGCCTTCATCTCCATCGGCTTCTCCTACGCCTTCCCCAAAGCCATCACCGTGTTCTTCAAGGACATCCAGGAGATCTTCCACACTACCTACAGCGAGATCGCGTGGATCTCCTCCATTATGCTGGCCGTCATGTACGCTGGAGGTGCGTGCGCTCTCATGCAATTTAGAATTTCTTTTATGTATTCAAACAGTTTGAAACTACTTGCTTTTATGTTACCAGGTAAGGCCCACTGAGCTATTTAGCTCTATTTTTTCAGACGTGACCTGGCCACAAATGATAGCCCAACGAAGTGGCTTATCACGTGGATATTTATAAGCAGCCAAATACTCGAAATGCACATTGATTATAAATGTGGAGGGTAAAACCAGAAGGCCTGGAGAAAAATCCACATGACCACCGGTGGAGAGAAACGCAAACTCCAAATATACAGGTGTCAGGATTGGGATCGAACCCAGGGCCTCCTGTATACCAGGCAAGGCAGTTGAGGGTGTCAGGGTGGGGGAGGGGCAAGGTGGTTGATGAAAGATGATCGTGAATATAAAATCGTGTTGCTATTGGGGACTTAGCCATGAAAATCGGGCAAATAACCTCCCTCTTCATGTTTTCCAACGTGGCGTTGAGTCACGGCCTAATCTCGTTCTCTGCGTACGGGGGCTGCGATTCTATTTCAGTTCAGAGCAAACGGAGAACGGCATGGTCATTAACACAGCCATCAGGGTCACCCATAGACCACCTACAAGGGCAATGCATGCGAAGCAGCCTTGTGATGCCTACACTCATGGAAAGTATGCCGGAGTAAGAATGTGCGACAGAGGCCAACTTATTAGTTTGCTGTAAGGCATTTACGAACTTCCCTTTGCATGCGCGAGTCAAAATGAAAGTGAAAGTTAATTCGCTCGTTCTCGCCACAGAGCGCTAACGCAGCAAAGTTACAAACTTAAACGTCTCAGTACAAAAAACAAAGTCCTTTGTGGCCTAAATTCAAGTCCCTGGGTTGTGATGCGAACTGAATGAACTGTGGTCCAAAGCAACCAGTGCGGCATGCGAGCAAGTGGTGGAACAATGTTGAGCAACTTCGAGAAAACTGGAAGGCTTCACAATTAATGCCAGACACCTGTGGGTTTAATTATTTTTAATGCAACCATTTTACGCGCGACAGAGGCAGCCCGTGCTTTGCCTCCACTCGTGCGCAATGCGGCACGATAACGAGAGTGAGGCAAAGCCCGGCCACCACCTGTGGAAATAAAGAGCTTCATAGCTTATCGGATTCCTCCGGTATAAATAAAGATTTTCGTTTCCGAGTAACTCTGAATCAACGCGTGGGACCAATGTGACATGAACCCCTCCCTATCGGGAGGGTTTTTTTTTTTTGTAAGCGATATTTGGACGAATTTTGAGCGAGCGCTCGCTGTCTGAAGGAGCTGACTCTTTGCTGACAGCCGGTCAAAGTTAGGCTGACTATCGTTCACTGCTCCAGATAAAAGGCGTACGTGTTGAAACGTGAGTAAGTAGTTCTCCTGCTCCTCAAGTGAGTGGTCTAGATGGAAGCCAGGAAGACATTGATCTTATCCCATGACATGTTGCTTGCGGGGGTGACTACACATGTGTACAGTTGCTTATACGCATACCTTTCTCTATTAATAATTGTTTAACGGTAAGTGTAGAACAATTTATCAATTAATATAACAGCTGAAGTGATATTCAAATTGTGTAGTTGTGTGTAATGGGTTCACAATGCCTATGCAAGTCACTTACAGATGCTTAACTGCGGAAATATCTTCCATAGCGATTCAATATTTTAGGGAAATATAAATATAAAAATGGCATATCCAGTGACAACACAACACGATGGAATATTACTATACATAGATCCTTGGGATTTCCTGAATGTCGAAAGCAAGCAGTGTGATGCCATCTTTCAAGTATGAACACATTATTTGGTGATGCTGTTGCTGCGTTGCCAGTGGTGCGCAAGGAACAATACCAACTCGACACATTTGTCAATAACAGTGGCGTTTTTAAAGGGAAAATATATAAGTGGCGATGTTTCGGGCAATTTCCCTTCTTCATGGCATACGAATAGAGGGGCCGGAGTGAGACAGAGTGGATCATAAGAGTTTGGGAGATTGTCCAACGCATTATCAGGGTCTTCTGAGGGCAGTGACATAAATCATTCTAACACATCAACTTCGAGACAATGGTTCAAGACCTCTCAACCACTCGCCCCCCCTGGCTTTTACCTATTTACATTAAAGTCAAACATTCAAGCATTTAGCCAATCTGTAGCAGGATTTAGTTCTGTATTTGAAACCCATTACAGGCCTCGGAGCATGAAAAATAAGAATAGCCCTTTATGGCAATAAAACAGGTGTAAAGATGTCCAAACACCAAATAGAAATATTTTGCAAGGAATCAAGCCTGCATTAACCACGGCATTTGTGGTGAACATGCAAACAAACATGCTCTGATTATAATATATGCATTGTCTTTAAAACTCATTGGCCTACACCAGAGACAGCCTTCTTTATAGCCTAAGAGACCTTCCATGATCGGTTTAACACGTAGGCTTTCACGGCCAATATTATGCATAATAAAGTTTTGTTGGGTTAGATGGCATGCATACAAATGTGTTGTTAAACCCGTCACCACCTGACACAGCCAATTAGTAACAATTAGAATACGACGTTTCGCTGGTGATTGCAACCAGCTTCATCAGGCGATTAACCACAATTGTGAAGAAGTCTTCCTTTTTTTGGACTTAAATAGAGTGGAGGTGACGTCATCGCGGTGAGCCTATTTGTTGCGACGATCAGAATGGGGGTTAAATGTTGTGGGTTTACTTTCCAGCACACCTGGCGTGTTTAAGTAGCCAATAATTGGCACTTTTTGTTTACGTGACAAACCTTACTGGTTGGCAGTGTCGGGTGGTGGTGGTGGTGGGTTTAACGACGCATTGTACTTGCGTAATCTAACCCAAAACAAAACAAAAACGTTGTTATGGAGTTTCCATGATGGTGCCAATTGAATGTGACCTGTTGCAATACCCCAGTGGCACCTTGACGTTTTTATTTGAATGACTGCTTCACCAAACAGCTGATCACAAACATCTCTAAAACTTGCGAAGCAAGTCATGAAATGAACAAGAATTAACTTCTAGTGCAAAGTTGCTAAAAAAAATAATTGAATATGGAGCAGGTGCTGAATATCTTTGGCAACGACTCTTAACTCATAATTGTGAGGCTATTTTTAAACCACTCGCAAAAATCCCTCAAGTCGATGGCTTTTGGTGCGAGCTTATTTGTATTCTTTTAAAACGTTTGAACTTTAATTTCGAAAACTTTTTATGGCCGAGCGGACCAATTTTCGTGTCAATGCCGCAATTTACAGCGCGATTTTGTGCGGCGGATTAACGCGCGGAATCCGCATTCCTTTCAAGTTTGAAGTCGTGGAATGGGTTTTCACTCGACGCACACAATTCAAATGTAGAATATGCCGCCTTATTATCCTGACATGGTGAGATAGCTCTGAGCTGTGTGCATCGAGGTTCCGCGGAATACTGAACCCCGTGACATTGTAACAGCTTCCACTGCAAGCCTTCCCTCAACGGTAAGTTAACCTTTCGCGTGTCACGATCAATCTGCAGCAGAGGCATGCCTTTTGACGTGAATATAAATTGCCTTCCTGCGTGGAGGGCCATTGGCTCCAAAAAAATACGTGGCGGTGTAATGTCTTTGTACCAGCGTACGATCTATTGGGGGTTTGCGCACAGAGCACGTATCCGCATATCCGACCGTCACATGTCCGCCCTGCCAAATTAACCCCCCGCGCCCAGTGCATTATTTACGCATGGCGCGACTTGTAATTTTTTTTATTTTCAATGTTCACTAATATGACCTTTACCCTGTACAATAATCGATTCTTAATCTTGTGTACATTTACCTCTAAAGCAGAGTAAATAATTATCCCATTATTAAAACACCTTATTGCCCTTTATTTGTGTTCAGTAACCTATTCGTGTCTGGTGTTACTGTCATTTTCAATCAATGTTCACCTTTTTACAAATCCGCCTATATCTTAGTGCCCAGCGAGTCGGATATGTGATGATTGTACTCTACTATAACACATTCCTGCGGAGGGAGCTGGTTGGAACGTTGGGTTGCTCGGTCAATGCCCAGGGTCAACAAATATGGCCGACTGTGAGGCCGGGTACAAGCCGGCGTGAGTAGGTTAAACGTTGAGTTTTATAAGGGCACCACGGGGTGACCAGCCCCTCCCCACCCTCCCACCCCCTACCCAGCCCCACCCTCCCCACTCAGCCCCTCTCCACCCAGCCCCACCCCCTCCCATTTTTGGATGCACGATGGACAGACGGGCACAATAATCCCCTGTGGGCTGGTGGAACCAGGTGGTTCCTACCAGTATAAAACAGAGGTAGCAGTGGTGCGTTGGTTAGCGCACCGAGCTCTGAATCCGGTAACCCCGAGGTGTTAACTACCTCGCCTGGTATACAGGAGGCCGTGGGTTCGATCCTGACCCTGACGCCTGCTGCTGTATATTTGGAGTTTGCACGTTCTCCTCTGTGGTCGCGTGGATTTTTCTCTGTGTCTTCCGGTTTTTCTTTCCACATTTTGAATCAAACATGCGTTTAGATTATTTGGCTGCTATGAATGCCCACGTGGTAATCCACTTCTTTGAGCTATTATTTGTGGCCAGGTCGCTTCTGAAAAATAGATATATAGCCTTGTGGGCCTTAATTGGTAAAATAGTAAATAGTTGAGTTAGTTTAGTAGTTGAGGTGTAAGTTGCAAAGTATTTTGAATCAAATTCTTCTCATGTGGAATGAGGTAACCACATCTACTCTGTATAATATTGAAACCAAATCGTACTGTCATCCTGTATAATAAGTCTATATATTCTCTACCTATTTTGGCGTTTTATCAATATTCGTTTCATCTGTGTTGATCAGAATACATTCTCAACATTACTACCTGGAACTAACACTCACTCTCCATAGAGAATTGTGTTTTGCACTTCTTGCCAATGAGTTTAATGTGCATTAATTATAAAAATGGTAATTTTAATGAAGTGACACATTTCAACGTTTAATAAACACGCGCCCATTATGTTTACTGATTTGGCCACTTGGATATGCTCACTTCCAGGGTTTGTTTATTCTAACAACGTCTCCGCTAGCGGATAACACGAATGCTTGTCTTGCCAATCGCTTGACTCGCGTTGTGAGGCTGAATGTCAGAGCTTTGGCGCATCAACGTACGCAGATGGCGGTGGAAAATGAAACGCAAAACGAGGAAAACAAAATCGTGCATTCACACCAATTCTGTCTAATGCTTTCCAACAAGCCCTATGTCCTTGGATGCGAGGCAATGTTTTGTTTTACTTTAATGGATGGTTTACTACCTGCGACGACGTGGATCAAAAACGTGGAAACTCGCGGAGAAAATGTCAAGTGCTGCAAATCATCGAGCGTGTGGTCAAAACTGAAACGTGCGCAAAAAAGCACGTGAAGAGATTGCTGCACGCTTGGTACAGCATCGTTGATCCATAAGAGAAGCAAGTGGGCTTGGGCCGGTGGGCAAAACTAATGATGGGGGATGGCAGCCAAGTGACGGAGGTGCCGCCAGACAAGATCCGATCGTGTCCGTCCGCTGCTTGCCGAGCTGCATTGGCTTCCGGTTCCCGAACGAATAGCGTTCGAAGGTCGCACTCGTTACACACAAAGTGCTTGCCACAAATGAACCGCAATGCCTCGCTGATCTCGTCGAGGAGTGTAAGCAATTGCACAAACACCCCGGTTGTCCTCACGGCAGCAGCGGCTTTTGGCTAACCGTCGAACAAAGATGGTCACCGCCATCGCGCGGCGCTTTCAGACGCGCTTCTGCTCCGCAAGGCCACGTTCAGTTTGTGAACCCTTTGGGCAACCTCGGTCGTGCAAATATACAAATATTTTTTTTTTCTCTTTTCAGGCCCCATCAGCAGCATCCTCGTGAATAAATACGGAAGCCGTCCCGTCGTGATTGCGGGCGGAATCCTCGCTGGAACCGGAATGATAGCGGCGTCGTTCTGCAATACCATTTTCCAGCTCTACTTCTGCATTGGTGTCATCGGAGGTATGGTCCGGGACTGATTTTTCCCGTAATTTTTCATGGGCAAGTGCTTGAGTAGTACACACAATTCAGCACGGGTTTAGTTCAGCACGTTTTGCTTTAATCTCATCAAGGGCTCCTCAACCGATAAGTTTTACGTGAATTATCCATAAAATGTGCGATTGATCATTGCGGAGGAGGTTATGTGACCGTCACACTTGGTGCAGTGGTTAGCGCGCCGTGCTACGAACCCAGAAACCCAAATTCGATTCCAGCTCACAGCCAACACCAGTGACGATTATCTGAACCTGGGCTGCCCCAAGGTCGATTCAGCCTTAAACGATGCGCTGTGTAAACATCCGCACCTCCGATTAGCATGGTTGGATATGTGCGGTGCGAAAGAAGTTCAACATTCATTCTAGATTTGAAGCTTTCGTGACTGCAAGGATTCATATTCTTAGGTTTTTTCGGTAAAGTCAAGTAGAATATTCAACATACATGCCTACATAGACCTGTGCTGCAAGGTTTTGTCGTGTGAAGCGGTGATTATGATTTCACACGCCCTTGAGCAGATCTGGGGTAAGACCGTGCAGGTGTGTACATTCCTCATTGTTCATAACGAACCACATCAAGTTCCTCTTTCGTTGGATGCGCCCAGCTCCAGGTTATATTTCGGTAACATTAATGTTTTACATAAAATGTAATTATAGCTGAAGAGCCTTATGACTGATGGGTGGCTTTATTTTTTACACAACGGTTTGCTTTATAAACACTTAGATATTCAAGTAATAATTACGCATATTTTTGCCAATCCATTGCCATGTCTTTTGCTATCTGTAAATGCTGTAACAAAGAATGCATTGCCCAAGACTGGTGGCCAAACCTTAGGGTGTGATCGTGGAGATCGTGAAGGTCTTATAGGTAGTCTGTTTGATGAGGCCACGGTCAGACGAACCCGTTTGTGTTCATTGTGAGGCCCTTATCACAAATCTAATTTTGTATTGACGCTCCTGTGCATATGTAAAAAAAAAAAGTAGATAATAATTGGTTCATAGTTTTCGTATATATTGAATTGTGCGACTGTACTGCGTGCAGTTAAAAGCACTCCAGAATTTAAACGGCTGCCTGGAGGCATGTATGATCGTGGCATTGCTGGAGAAATTAATTGTGAAACATACAGCCAGAGGACTGCTACTAGCAGTTAAAGTAACTGCTGCTGCCAGCAGTTATATTAACTGGAACGCCATTCATTAATCAACATCCAATTTTTTTCTTTTGCCCCCTCCATGTTTGGCTCCGCGTACAGTGCGGAGTTTGTCTCCGAGCTCCGCTTCAGTCGGCGAGAGCCTCGTGCTGAATATCCATCGGCTGAGTTTTTTTAAGGCAGATGTTTAGCGATGTATTAATCAGCCTCAACACGGCCCCCCAGTCACCATGCAGCAAGCCCATTAACCCTTGCAACCATTTGTGGTCTCGTGAACACAGAGGATCAGCGCTCTCGTCGCTTTCTTTGCCATTTTCACATCCCTTCATTCGGATGCGTACGACTTGGCCATTCGACTCCCCGCAATCCCTCAGGCGTGCCCTCGTGCACATTTGCCACATCCTTGATTTATTCTTGTAAACGGAATGGGATTATATTTTTTTGCAAGTGTACGTTAATGGAATCATATTTTCATTCGGCAGAGTGTTATTAGTTTAATTACCTAGAGCAGGTTGCAGCATGCCTAGGGTTTCAGAATTACACTCATTTTATATTGCATGCTGCGTTCATTTTGTTGTTGTTGCCTTGTTACAGTTATTATGTTATTCTTTCTTCATAAATGATCTGACTATAAATTGGACAGCCTTACAATTTTTCAAAGCTTGTTTTTTTTCAAATAATATCCACCTTTTTATTTTTATACGATTTTTCGCATCAATTGTATTATTTCGTGGAAAAAAATACGTAATTTTATCGCTATCATCACTATTATTTACACCTCTTCCAAAACATCTGATCAAGCGTGGCAAAGTAGGCCAACTACCCTCCAAAGGGGCTCTCTAAAGCTCCCTCTAGTGATGCCTGATTACCGTGGAAGAGTAGACCAAATACCCTCTAAATCTCCCTTAGGTGTAGGTCCCTTCAACCAGCAGTGGTGATGAGCGAGCAATTGCAGGGCTGCACCTTTATCTTATTTTCTTCTATTAGTTGTAGTAGCAAAGGTACCGCAGTGTATTTTCACTTTTATACGTTGAAAAAAAAAAGTCACAGGGATGAATGTGTTTCGTACAAATACTGAGAGCTATTTTTTCTTTTCTCTACGTGCTGAATTTTGTTTGTCCTTTAAGATATTCTCACAAATCCATGAGACTGAAAAAAACGGGAAATAGTTTAGACGTGATAGCACTGCCATACCAACGAGTAAATTATTTGTTAAGTTAAATTACACCCACTGAAGAAGTAAAGTCGTCTTCGAGTAAGTTCATTTGAGTTCAAAATTGCGTTTGCTGTGAGATTAGGCCATACAGAATCACTGGCGTAACGCACGTACGTGTGTATCAAATAATATGCCGCTTCTCTCCTCAGTAGATCACCGGGCATTGTGGGTATGCCGACGGGCATCTATTCATATTGCATGTTACAACCTACGTAACCGGCGAGTAATGATGCTCAATATCGTTCAGCGGAACATTGTGTACTCGAGCAATCATTGGCAAAGCCGTAATTCATGGTGATGTTCAGATTTGAGTTTCATGGATTGCAACAAAAAAAAAACACCCCCAGACCTGTACCACGAACCCGTTCCCACGAGGTCAAGCTGGGGGGGGGGGGGCCGTTACATTACCGCCTGCTCTCTGCATTTTCAATTTTCGTTTAAAATGCAAACATGTGATACTCTCCCCCCCCCCCCCCCCCCACCTTAAAATGGATCACCAAACTGTTTGTTTTTACCATTCATTGTTGACCGTAACCCACGTGGATGGGGATGAGGTCATGGTTCTAAGCCACGTGAAAGGGACGGTAAAGCTTGCTTTAGCGAGGTGGATTCCGACAGTCACCCCCCCCGTATTAAATGTGTTCCATTAACGAAAAGGTGTTTGATTACAACTCGGGGTGGGAGTAGGGTGGGTGCGGATCTGTGATTGGCGGCGCGGGGCAGTTTTTTTTTTATCAGACAAGAACCAGCGGCACATTTGCCTGTACTTAAAGGGACATTCAGCTGCGTATTGTAATGCACACTTATCGAGAGGCAATGCAAGATAATTACATTCGAGCTTTGCAACCTTTATCACAGCAGACTCTTTATCTTATAATGAACCACATTCATCGCATTCAACAACAATCTCATGATCAGCAATTTGACACCACGATTTCAAAACATGTTGTATGCGGCTCTCAGATTTGTTTTGTCCACAAATATGTGGAAACTCACAATGCGGCGACATGCGCGTGATCAGTTGCAAGGTTATGTCAGTGGTTGAAATTGGCCATGTGATTTCGTCTAATTCAATGGTGCAGCACAATTTGCTTGTATATAGAGGAGTACCAAGATGCAAGGGGGATTTGCAGAAGCTGTGATGGCAGAGTAGTGAAGCAAGCCATTGCTGAACGGGAGTAAACAATCGAAGAAGCACACGGACACGAAAATACATTCCATGATAAAGGTTTTTTTTCTTTTCGGTTAGATCGAGCAAATATAAATGTGTTAAATCCACCACCACCCAACACACCAGTTGTGAACGTTGTGGGTTTGCTCTTCAACACACCGGTGTGCTGAAGTAGTAACTTAATGAAAAGTTTTATTTACGTGACAGCCCCTAACTAATTTGCTGTGTCGGGTGGTGGCGGTGTTTAACGACACATCTATATTTTGCGTGCTCTAGCTAAAAAAAATATACATCTTTATTACTAATAGTAATGGTCACATGTTAAAAATAAATTTCACGAAAAAGAGGCTTTTTATTCTCTACTTTAACCGATGCTGCTTTGGTGCACTGAACTTGCAATCCATGGAGGCCCACCGGTTCTGTCTCCCTGCACGGCAGTTAAAACAACCGGCAAAGACTTTCGAAATCTCGCCGCCACCGCCACCTCTGTCTCTGCCCACCCGGCAGTATAAAAGCGTGCACCCACAAGTGAGTCGATCTGCGGGGAGGTGGCAGGTTGTGGCGTGGTAAGAGTGTGTGCCCTGGAAAAAAACACCTCGGCACCTGGGGAAACACTCAAAACAGTGCAGTTACAGGCTCTTGACCTACTTGCTGTTCTGCCCAATTCGGGCGTCTAATAACGCTCCACGGTGGGTGCGTCATGCCCGGCACATGTTCTCAAAAATGGCCCACTAAACCCTTGTCTCCAAAGCACAGGATTACAGGCGTGTGTGCCAACACGCTTGGCACATCCACAGAGTAATCGGAGAGAGTCCACGGCCCACATTCCATTGGAGTGGCACTCCAACTCCTTTTTTGGCAAGCCACGGACTTTTCGACCACCCCTCGAAATGATGATAAGGGTCTTTACGACGATAATGGACAATTGGAGGTTGCAGTGATGTTTAAAGTTCCAAGTGACGGCTGCATTTCTTGTTTATCGCTGTTGCTGAACTTTGATTGAGGATGCTCAAAGCGCAGAGATATTGCAGCAATCTATGGGAATGTATTTTCCCTTTGATACGCAGTGCTACGAAGCTGCACTGACTGGGACTTGTAACTTTAAGCATCAACGTCTATGCACTACATATAGTAGATTCATATAAACATGTATGCAATACAGCAGCAACATACACAGGAGCTTGACATGTAGTTGAATGGTATTTACATTCTCTATCAATCTAAATTGGGTTGTGTAAGTATTCTAATGAATCCAGTATATGTAGTTATTGATAAATACGGTAGGCTTTCCCCCCATTCCCACAGTAATTCTACGAATTATAAAAAATTCAGATTTCGGATTTAATTCAAGAATATTTGTTTTACATTGCGGTGAATTGAACCCATTACGGGCGTCAAAATAATCATGGGAGTCCTTGTGGAGAATTTAAATG